CGAACATTTATTTGCTCATGTGTTGCGACAAACGAGACGGGGATTGAATGGAAATCTGTGGGGAAGTCGGTCGATACGGGCATGACAAAACAGCCTCAAATATTAGATCTCGTTTTATACATTTTACTACGTAGTCGACAGAGTGAGACCAAGATCCCAGCGGTCATCAGAGATGTCATGGCAATATCATCTCTCATTGGGCAACACTGCTCATTTGGGTTTGGCACTGCTTGTGAAACGATGGTGCGGAATCAGATCACCGTGCAAGTGGGCAGACGGCAAAAAGAATGCGTGCGGCATCTTTCAAAACGGTGAAGGTAAACAAAGTGACGCTCTTATGCCGGTACTTTTCTGTTTGGCATTCAATTCTGCATCACAACGCAGTCGAGCGCGTCTCTAACGAAATGCATCCGCTTTTCACTTAGATTACACATATGTAGGCGTGTATGTATGTATGCATGCATGCAGGCATGCATGCATGTGTGTATATATGTGTGTAGATGTAATCTGCCACTTGCGGGACGTTGCGACCATTTGCGACGATAGGAAGACGACACTGGCCGAAATAAGCTCCATCGACGTGGATATAGATAAACTGGCAGCCTGGAGCAAAAAATGCCGACGACTGCCCTTCACGACAAGACACGAAGCGCTTGGATTCACGACGAACCCGAACACGAACAAAACTTCCGCAATCTACGCGCGCCATTCGGCACGGACACGTACATTGCTGCATTAGGAAACGCGCAGGCGGAAGGCAAAGTGAAGCAATCTTACCCGAGCTCATTTGCTTAAAATCTGCGTGGGTTCTGCTTCTGTATTGTGGTGTCCCGAAGCTGAACCATTTACTCCCGACCGCGACGCCAAACCAATCAAAATATGCGACTATGATCCACGATGCAAATATTTGGGATCGGAAACTGAGGGGTGAGATCGCAACGGAACGGAGATCCCCAACTGGGAAATCGTTTCGTTTCATTCGTGTCGTGCGTGCGGGCGAAGCGAAGCTGCGTGGGCGCGAGAGGAATGAACCCGCCGTTGCCAGGGAGAAATCAAAGCAAATAATTCTCCCCCTCCCGCCCGTCGGGCGTTGGCCCTGCGGTGTCCCGCGGTGTCCCGAGGTGTCCGCCGTTGCTAGGGCGAAGGCAAAACAAATGATTCTCCCCTGCCCGCCCGTCCGCCTGTCCGTCTGGCGGTGGCTCGCGGCGTCCCGTGGTGTCCCAAAAAGTGAGATTGATAATGAGATCGATGTGGTGCCCCGTGGTGTTGTCCCGTTGAATGGGATCGATAATGAGATCGATAGTGAGATCGATGTGATGCCCCGAGGTGTCCCGTGGTGTCCCAAACAATGAGATCGACAAGTATCCCGTGTTGTCCCGTGGTGTCCCGTTGAGTGAGATCAATCGTGAGGTCGATGTGGTGTTCCGAGGTGTCCCGTGGTGTCCTGTGGTGTCCCGTTGAATGAGACCGATAGTGAGATCGATAAACTCAGGTAGGCCGACTAGACCATCATAGCATCGTCGCAACATCGCTTGTCTCAGTTGCAGCGAGACATGGCGGGTGGTGTTGGAATCAATTCGGCGCCGCCTTGCCTTGCTTAGGGCTCGGGCTTAGGGCTCGGAGATGGTCCAATTGTTGGGAACATGTTGACAAGTCCTTGGCTGCCCCAAAAAAGTCGGCCCAATTTGCCAAATACGCAATTGGGACATGTCGTTGCGAATCTCGGAGTCCGAGGCCGCCCAATCGCAAAAGAAGTTTTGCTTGCGCCACCCACGTGTCATGCGTCACCCCATGGACGCGTCCCATTTTGCAGCTGGTGGAATAGCAAACATATTCTGGAACGAACTTATACGGCCACCCTTCGGGTGATAAGAAGGTTGTGGGGGGAGAGGGGGGGAACCAACATCTGATTCAATCGATCTCACTCAACGGGACACCGCGTTACACCACGGGACACTTGAAGACTTCACTATCGATCTCATTATCGATCTCACTCAACGGGACCACGGGACAACCCGGGACACCTCTCGATCTCACTATCGGTCTCATTACCGCAAAAATCTGACAACTGGGAATACGGATGGCAATGCCGTGCGTCGTCAAATCTGGAACGTCGTGCGCACCGCTGCTTGTGACAAACTCTGGGAGGGGGCCTCTGGCACGACGAAATGCGGCCACAGAGGGAAAAACCAGGTTACGATCGTGCAGGGGGGCATGTGCGTCAGGATGGCTGACAATATGCCCCACTACGGATCTGTTGGTGCTACAATATTGCCACATCTGGTGCGCTTTCAGACGGCGGCTGGAGATTGGGGTCTTGCACAAAGGCGGAAACGCACATGGTCATTCAACATGGGGACCAGCGACACCTCCTGTTTGAACATACGCATACGTGGATGGTATCGGCTTGGCGCCAAGTGTCACGGAGGCAGAGGCTGGGTCATGGGTGTCCACTGCGCGTAATGGGGGAGATGGCCGTTACGTCACAAAATAGATGCAATTCAGAAAAGGGATGATGAGGTCAAGTCGTCGTTGGTCCCCTGGGAGTACAGGCACATGCATGTGCGCCAAATGCCTTTCCACGTAGCGGACTGGGATCTGGCACCAGCAACCAACCACGGAACTTACTGAAGATCGCCGAAAATGAGAACAACGCTACCTACAATGAGATAACTACGCCGGGACCGGCATCGTTTCAATGTTTGGGCTGCGACGCCTTTGGTCGGTGGGGCCCTCAACCTATTTCGTAAGTCCCTGCGCTGGCACGCGAAAGGTGCCGGGACCTCCCAGGACGAGTACGAAAAGGCACCACAATGGGATTGTCACACAGATGGTGGGGGATCCTTGGGATTGCACTGCAACGGTCATTCGCACACGCCGTGCCCCACGAATGTGCAAGCCTACCAACGACGTACATTGAGCCGGCATTCCCCTGAGACGACCTCCCAGCGACCGCGTAGGGGCAAGACACCCCTTCCTCCTCCTCCTCCTCCTCCTCCTCGTCCTCCTCCTGAGCTACGTTTAGGGCTTCGCCGTTTCACTCCTGATACCGTTTGCATGCAACGTTGCAACACCTTTTCCAATTACTGTTCGGAATTCATTGGCACTGCGTCGCGGGGGGTGGACGTTGGAAGACGAAACAACATTCGGTAACTTGCATGCGGTAACGGACTTATTTGCAAAAGCATCGGCACCACAACGCGCATCTTCCATTATCGCTTTGAAGAAAGGTGAAACCCGAATTCGCGGCATTGCGGCTGGGGGTACGCTTCGCCGAACTGGCGTGAAGACGTTCGCAACATAATTCCAAGAAGCGTTCCGCCGAACAATGCAATCTCACAATTTCTGCATCGCTAACTGCAGTGAGACGGATGCTGCTATCCATAACACAATCATTCTCAATGTAGGCGGTGCGGGTGCTTTCGATCGTATACAGCGTACTGGTATATCTGCCCTTCTACATGATGCCGCATTACATAGCCTGCTCCTTTTTGTGCGAATGTGGTACGGCATCCGATCCGAGTTTGGGTGGCGAGACGACGCCAGAAAAACACACCCCACATTTCATGGAGATGGGGGCGAACAAGGAGATGCTGTAATGTCTGGATGTTCCGCCTTGCCCTCCGCAGCGCGTTACGCGACATCAAGGCACGCTCACCCAATCGAGCCGAAATCGTGGCATATTTGGGGTATTGGCACCGTCGATGAAAAAGCGATTGGTCCCCCCCCCCTGAGCCTCCCCCCCCTGACGCTGCCCTGGACCTTCCGCTCCGTGGCTCTCGGGCCAGACCTCGGGCCTCCCGCGGCCGCTCGGGACGACCCTGTCACCCCCAGGAGCGCCCTCGACAGGGCGCAGCGGATGGAGACCACCCTGGGCCCTGGAAGCGTTCGAGAGTCCAAGAAAACTCGGAGGGGGTCGACGTAGAGTCACGAAACCCCGCCTGAGCCCGTTAACCCCCCCCCCAACGCTGCCCCCGAGTCGGGTGCTGACAGAAGGGCCCCTGGCCCAAGGTGCTCCCAGGATTTCCAAGTTCGAAAGTCCACGAAAACTCCCTGTGGAGCGTGGAGTTGGCGACTGGGGGTCGATGTGCCGCCCCCCCCTGAGCCCATACCCCCCCGGCCGCCCCCCGACTCTGTTCGAACACCGGAGGCCTCCTATATGGGGGCGGAGCAGATGGGCTCGGAGGATCGCGCCGCATCGCTGATGCATCGGCGATGCAGCGACGTGAAGCAAATCGGGCTCCACATCGAGCCGCCCGCATCGGCGATGCATCGGCGAGGCGGCGCGACCCTCCGACCCCATCTGCTGCGACACCATCGAGGAGGCCCAGAAACACTATTCCTAGAACAGAGGGCAGACCATCCACCCCGATGATAACCACCCCGACACGCGAAACCGTTTAGCAAACGCACCCAAAGAAGGAACCGAGCAGAGGGCAAGGCTGCTTCGTAAACGCCCAGGGCCGTTTAGTAAAAGCCAATTTTCCGGTCCAAGTGTTTTTTTTCCTCTATTGAGCATGGTGTCGTGATGCGATTGGCGCAGGATGCGTTGCAGGAGCTCTGGAGAGCAGCTGGCGGCCCTCGACCCCGCATCCCGTGCGGAGCAGTACAGTCGATGAATAAGGACCGAAGCCCTTTTTTTCAGGGGAATAGCGCATAGGCAACGATACTACTACATAGCGCAACAGGAGCGATAAATAACGCATGCATGCCCAAGGAACGACCGAGCCCATTTTGAAAAGTGTTCCTGATTCACGCCGCTCACTGTACGGACTTTGGACATCCCAAAAACATCTTGGAACGCATCATTCGGCTACCACACGCAAGAGTGACCCTAGGCAAGAGTGACCCTTGGTACGCGGCTTTCGGCAGGGCCCAACCCGAGCGCGCAAGACGCAACTATTGCATCGCATTCTGGCGATCGGGAAACCCCAGTGGGCCCGCACCAAAGGTCACCCTAGCGAAAGGTCAGTCACTCTTTCGTGCAATCAAATCATTACCATGATCTCTTGCTTCTCTTGCTTCCGACGCGGCAGGGCCGCGTGTCGCCGCGCGATGGGGAGGCGAGCGAGCCACGCGCCAGACGGAGCGCCAGCGCGCAGGCTGGGCGCTAACCCATAGGAGCGGGGCGACAAGTAGGGAGGAGAAACGTACACCCCGCCAAATGCTTAAGAAATCATGGGTTAAGAAATTCATAGTCTCAGAACTTGAATAAAAACCCAACATTTTCTATTTAAATCTCAGGATTTACATTGAAACATTAAGAATAATCGAGACTCTGGCCGAAAACTTGGGTTTTCTTAAGCATCGCCTAGAGTGTACACTTTTCGTACCTCGGAGAGTGACCCTGGGCAAGAGCGACCTCTGGTGCGCGGCTTCAGGGGAGCCGCGGGGGCGGGGGAGGGGGCCAAACCCAAGCGCGCAAGTCGCTACTGTCGCATTGCGCTCGGCCATCGGGGGACCCCAGTGCTCCCGCACGAAAGGTCACTGTGGCGAAAGGTCACCCTCACGTGTAAGCGACTTTTGGGCCCCAGGGGGCCCCTTTTTGGCACAAAGGGCGCACCTTTCTTCCCCCCCCCATGCACAGAGATCCGATGCCTCTGGTTTTTCAATGCGGCGTCCTCGGAGGTCTCGAACCATTCCCAAGCACCGGCTTTTCATCCCGAACCGTTTTCTGGCGGTCCCGGGGCCCAGCGAGGGCCCCCCTTTCGTTGGGCGCCCGAGTCATCCGGGGCAACTGGGGCCCGGGGAAACTCGGGTCTGGCTTCCCGAGAAAAACGAGCCCGAGTCAGCCCTGACCCGAGTTAGCCCCTGATGCTCCGGGGCTCTGACTTCTGTCGCACCCCCGCCTCCACCTCCTCCTCCTCCTCTTCCTCCCCCTCCTCCTCCTCCTCCTCCTCCTCCTCCTCCTCCTCCTCTTCCTCCTCCTCCTCCTCCTCCGGGGCGCGCTGGATGAGAGGGCGAAAACATGGCACACTGAACTCTCGGAGCTCCGCGCGGATTCCTTGGGCCTGCGCTGGGGCCCCCTGGCGGCGCCTCCGGCGCCGCCCCTGGCGCGCTCCGCGCGCCAAGGAGGGGGGTCCATCTCCGATCTAAGAAATCCGCGCAGACCTCAGAGTCATTGCTTGTCCCCTGAAAGACAGCGCATCCGTTGGAAAATCTGTGGGCGCAGGTGGTCTAACGAGATCTTTCTTCCCTCTTCCCAAAACCCTTCTCCCCTCCCCCTACCCCCTCCCCTGGACCTGGACGGGGTGGGCGCGAGGTGTCAGAGGGTCCTTTTTCGCCCAAGATGGCTCCAAGAGGGCCTCAGAGAGCCCAAGATAGCCTCCAAGATCGCTCGCTCAAGATAGCCCAGCATGGCGCAAGATAGCTAACAGCATGCCTCCAAGAGGCCCCAAGAGGACCCAAGACGGTTCCAGGTGCTTTTGGCGACCCCTCAGGACCTCCCCGAGAAGCCAGAATCCTTCAACAACCCAAGGGAAATCACTGATTTATGCCTTGTCGCCTTTTCGCTTCCGATGCGCTTTGGAGGCCTCGAGATGGCCCGAAGATGGCCCAAGAGAGCTCCAAGAAGGGCCCAAGAGGCACCCAAGACTGCCCCACGAGCGCCCAAGATCGCCCCAAGAAGGCCACAGGAGCGCCCCAAGAGGCCATGTCGATGGCCCCGGAGGGGGGAGGGACATCGAGGACCACCCCTCCTTTGATCCGATGGTCCCAGGATGTGCTCCGATATGGCCCCAGGAGGGGGGAGGGAAGTCTCCAAGATGGCCCCAGGAGGCGCTCCATAGCTCCCATGAGGACCCCAAGAGAGCCCCAAGAGAGCCCCAAGAGGGCCCCATGAGGGCCCCAAGGCGTCCCAAAAGAGCCCCAAGAGGACCCCAAGACCCCCAAAGAGCTCCAAGAGGGCCCCAAGGTGCCCCAAAAGAGCTCCAAGAGGACCCCAATATCTCCCAATACAGCCCTGTAGCTTCAAGAAGGCCTCCGATGCTCCAAGATAGCCTCCAAGATGGCTCAACACCCTCCTTCCTCTCCTCTCCTTGCACGCTCTGCTTCACTACATGTGTCTCCTCTCTCCGTTTCCCAACAGCTCTCATGAGCAAGGCTTCTGAATGGGCTGGTGAGGATTCGCGAAGCGTAAATAATTGGTGCTTCCGTTGTTGGTGGCTCGGCCAGACCAGCATCAAGGGGGGGCGCCACCTCACGTGGCAGAGGCTGTGAATAGAGGGCTCACGCCAACACCAGCGTCGCGGCGAAATCGTCGCCTCAGCCTGCAACCATCAACACAGACACACATCACCATCGGAATCGGAACAACGCCTTCCCCTGTAACACGGTGGGCGCGGAGGGCGACACAGGACAAACGGTATGCTGCAAGATGATGGCGAAGACAATCCTTCACCCCTCTCTTCCTTCCCCTTGCAAATCAGCGCGCGCATGCGACAGTAACATATTTGGATCTCTAGCGTGAGTGAGGTTAGCGAGGCTGTGAGCCTCCGCACACACGCACCGACTTTCTCACGCGGTGTTTGCTGCTGCCATGTTGCGATGCAGGACACCCTGGCCACACCGTGGCTGCACCCGAGCGTGATGGAGGCCTCACCCATCCTCATCCATACCCCAGGGAAACGCTTTTCGGCGGTGGACAAACTTCCCTCTAATAAACCTCCCCTTAATGAAAACGGCCTGGGACCGAAACCGACGGACCTGGACCCGCAAAAAAGACGGCCACGACGCCCTCTCGCGAACCGAAAACGGCAAATTCGCTAATCGACGTGTCAGGGTAGGAGGGCTATCAACCTCCGAGCTTTCAGGAGACGCCACCCTCAAAATATCGAAACCCAGCCCCATGGCTCTACGACCCCCCACGATGACCCGACCGCCTCCCATTACCCCTCCAGAATCTCTTGTGAAGCCCCAGAGATGCTTCCCGAAATGCCCCCCAAGGGCGCCGAAGAGTCCGTTTCCGACACACGCGAGCACTGGGACAGCAGTAGCACCTCTATCTAGTGTGGCTGTGGAGCTCATCGGACCTCCCCTTCGCACTGTACAGCGAAGCGTCCGCCTGGTCAAAGCAGGGGAGCTCCTGGGCACGTCTGGAGAAGTTTGAAGCTTTCTTGTCCCCCTCTGGGAGCAAACCACCTCACAACCTTTTGCACACAGCTGTGTTTCCCCAACACGCTCGCAAATCTATTCAATCTGGTCATCCGAGACGTCTCAGAAAGGTTCCCATGGGCTTCAACGCGCCTCCGCAACGAGCCCACAAACAATCCACATACTCTGCGGAAAACGCACATCAACTTGTACACGCGACTGCACGGGGGAGGACGTCCAAAACCTTCCGCAAGCGCCCGACTCGCCCCAGAAACGACCCAACCTATTCAGAAGAGACCACACTGCAGTCGCCAGACGCCAATGTTAGAACAAAACAAAACTGCATAAACAATCAGCTTTCGACTATCCGCGCAAATTTCTTGGATCTGCGCTGGACCCCCCTTCCCTGGCGCGCGGAGCGCGCCAGGGGCGGCGCCGGAAGAGCCGCCAGGGGGCCCCAGCGCAGATCCAAGAAATCCGCGCGGAGCTCAGGCAGTTTCTGTCCATGCCGCATTTCCCCCTTCGAAAATCTGTGGGTCACAGTTCTGCTCGCACCTGCTCCCCCTTTCCTCCGACGCTCTCCTGGCTGCAGCTGTCGCAGCCTGCGCCGTGGCGGAGCGCCGCTGGGTCGCAGCTGCTCCAGTCCCGAGGAGGATGAGGGGAAGGCCAGGAAACAACTCCTGGGAGATCTTCGTGGGTTCAACTACGGGCTATGGAAGGCGATAACAAGACGCAGGCAACATCGAGGCAAAAGCGGACCGACGTAAATCGAGAATTCCTGAATTTCGGCGGGCTTGGAGGATGTATCCGGCGCCGCGGTCGTTTCAAAGCGTCCCAGAATGCTCTGAGAGCGTTTTGGAACGCTCTGGACCGATTTCTCTCGATTCGAAACCTGCCTGAGAAAAAAACGCCATTTGGCTTGAGCAGGCCAGATCGAGCCCAGGACAAAACTCGATTAGCCTGGATCGAACGAGACTAAACAAGACAATGCCGTTACAGACAGTGGAAATGCCGGCGCCGAGGCCAAAAAATTAACTCCTCGGAGTTGCAGCCAAAGGTTAGGTCGGGCATGCCCCCCTACAGGCAGATCTTCGACGAAACATAAGACATACTCAAAACATACTCAAACATGGTAAAACAATACCAGATAAATAGTCCCCAGACTATTTTTGAATTTTCCTCCTGTAGAGGGACACGCCCGACTTCAGCCAAAGGGAGAGTGGAAACAAATTCGTCGAGGCTCCTCCGGCTGCGGCTGCGGCCGCCGCGGCCCTCCTGGGGCAAACGAAAGGGTCCCCATGCTGCCACTCCCCGAACCTCCCCTGGGATGCGTTCTGATCAAAGCCTTGAAGCGAATCCAGCGGTGGCGATGAGGGCCCCCGAAGAGGCCCGACCAGGGGCAAAGCGACGAAGGTGTGACGATAGGGGGTCGGGGATGGACAGACCTCCCTTTAGTAAAACGTGGTTTAGTGAAAACGACCTCGGGCCCAAACCTGGCGGGCGCAAGCCTGGAAAATAACGGCCGCGGCGCCCTCTCGAGAACCGAAAACGGACAATTCACTAATCGACGTGTCACTGTTGGGGGTTCTGTCCACCCCCGACTTTCCCCACTCTGACCTCAGGCTTCTTCCAGACGCCCTCGCCCCGCGTACTGCCCTCGTTCCAGCCAGTGTTCCGCCAGGGCGCGTGGCCCGACGTGCCCTCGTCCGCGCCGTCGCCATCGTCTGCGAGTTCGGTCACATCCTCGGGGTCGGGGGAGGCCCTGCTGGAAATTCCGCTGAGAAAAAACAGCATCATTTTCTTAGGGTGGAGGGCTCAGGGTGAAATCCATGTGGGCTTTCGCACCTCGAGAATCCATCCGTCTCGTGATTCACCTTTTGCAGGCTCAAACCTCGAAAACCAATCGAAACGGCACTTCAGATCTCACCCTTTGCCCTCCGCCCAGAGAAGATGCTCGGAGAACGCTGCGGTCACGAGCGGAGGGGGAGGGGGAGGAGGAGGGAGAGGAGAGAGGAGGAGGAGAGGGGAGGGAGAAGGAGGAGGAGGAGGAGGAGGACGACGACGAGGAGGAGGAGGAGGACGAGGAGGAGGACGAACCTCGCTTCCGTGCAGAATGCCAGGCACTGGGCCACGGAGGCTGGCCCCTCGCCTGACGGTGCCCTCCTCGCGGGCAACCGTGGGCCTCGACGGGGCCACCCACGGCCCGGAAAGGATCCATTCTAGAGGAAAAAGAACTATGCACATGCACCGATTCTGGCCAGGCCCATCCTGAGCCCAGGATCGGTGCATACGTCCTCCTACCTTGGCCAGGAAGGCATATGCACCGATCCTGGGGCAAAGATGGGCCTTGCCAGGATCGGTGCATGTGCATAATTCTCTTCGCCCGACATTCCGAATGACTCCGTCAGGATAGGGCCCTTCCGAATCCGCAGGGAGGACGGGGAGGAGGACAACGAGGAGGACAAGCAAGGGGCCCCCCAGAATGCCTCGACGAGGCCCCGAAGCACCCCGAGAGGTCCCTGCATGTGTCCAAGAGGCCTCTGGCCCGCACCCTTGGCACGGTGGCAGGAGGGTCCGAAAGCTTCCAAATCCGCCGCCTCCTGTGGCGTGCCACAGGGGTGCACGACGTGCTCGATGTCTGGGATGCTTTGATCGTTTCCGAAGCAATTGCCCTGCGCCGCACCCAGCCCATCGGCACCAAGGGATGATGCAAGGTGTGCCAGCAGGAGTGCGACGGCAGCACTGCAAGAGACGGTGCACGGCGGATGTCTATATCGTGCGAAGTGCGCGTGGCCGACTCGCAGAACAGAGATACAAAAAACGGCCAGGAGGCACTGTACTGGGAAGGCGAAACAGAACGAACGAATCGGGGTGACCCCGCTCTGCAGCCCTCAAACGTGGCGACAATTTCACGCTTCGCAGCGCCCCTCCGAGGATGGCGAGGTCCCCTTTGGGCCCGCGCGGGGCCCTGCCGCGCGGGCAGTCCTCGAAAGCGGTGACGGCTTCACGCTTCGCAGCACCCCAAAGGGATGACGAGGTCCCGTCTGCGCCTGCGTCTGGCCCCACTGCGCGGGCTCCCCCAGCAGACCTCGAACGTGGCGACCATTTTCGGGCGCGGCAAAGAGGGGGGTGTCCAAGAGGGGGGGGTGCAAATCATGACCGGCGGCATGTGCGCGGCCCAGCGGGGGGGCCTGGGACATAATGAAGTAAGAAGAGGCGCCATGAAATCTGGGGAAAAATCATGGCCCCCGCCATGATATCCACCCCCCCCTAGTCATCACCCCCCTCTTTTCCGCCCCCGAAAACCTCGAACGTGGCGACCATTTGACACGTCGCGGCCTCCCCGGGAATGGCGAGGTGCCGTTTGGGTCTGCGCTCGGCCCCACGGCGCGGGCCCCCCCCCCCCAGCGGCCCTCGAGAGGTGGCGGCCGCTCCGCACCGCCGCAGGCCCCCCCCTCGGAGGGCGAAGCCCCGTCCGTGTCCGCGTGGCGGCTCCGTTGTGCGGGCTCCCTTGAAAAAGGGGCGCGTCGCCCCCTTGAAAAAAGGGGCGTCCGAAGGCGCGTCCGCGTCGCTCCCTTGAAAAAGGGGCGACGCTTTCACGCCTCGCAGCCCCGCCAGGGATGGCGCGGTCCCGTTTTGCGTGTGCGTGCGGCCCAGCTGCGGGCTCCCCCCAAGCAGCCCTCGACGGCGGCGGCAGCTTTCGCACTCCGCAGCCCCCCCCCCCGGAGATTCCGGGGTCCCGTTTGCGCCTGCATGCGGCCCTGGTGCGCGGGCTCCCCCAGCAGCCCTCGAGCGTGGCGACCATTTCACACTTCACAGCCCCCTGAGGATAGCAGGGTCCCGTTTGGGTCTGCGCGTGGCCCCAGTGTGCGAGCTCCCCCTCTGCGACCCTCGCACGTCGCAGCTCCCGGGAGGGAGGCGAGGGGAGGGAGCCGAGAGGAGAGGCGGGGGGGCGAAGAGGAGGAGGAGGAGGAGGAGGAGGAGGAGGAGGAGGAGGAGGAGGAGGAGGAGGAGGAGGTGTAGAGCCCACCTGCTCTAGTCATTACCCTGCGCCGCACCCAACCCATCGGCACCAAGGGATGCTACAATGCGTGCCGACACTAGTGCGACAACAACACTGCAAGAGGCGGTGCACGGCGGATGTTTACACCGTGCGAAGTGCGCGTGACCGACTCGCAGAACAGAAGTACAAAGAAGGCCAGGAGGCATTGTACGGATAAGGAAAAGGAACACATCGGGGTGGAGGTGGAAGAACAATCATTTCGCCAGAAGCAGCGAGATGATGGAGCTGCTGCCTCCTCTCGTCCTACTCCTCCTCGTCCTCCTCCTCCTCCTCCTCCCTCGCCGTCTTCTCGTCGTCCTGCAGCCTTTTCCTCCGCCTCCTTCTCCTCCTCCTCCCCCTCCTCCTCCTCCCCCTCCTCCTCCTCCTCGTCCTCCTCCTCCTCCCTCTCCTCCTCTCCCATCCCTCCTCCGGATTTGCGTGGGACCTAACTACGTTGCACACCCCGGCAGCCCTCACAGCTGCGACCGTTTCCCACTTCGCGCCCCGCCCCCAGGGACGACGAGGTCCTCAAGGTCTGCGCGGGGCCCCACTGTGTGGGCCCCCCCCAAGCAGCCCTCGAAAGTGGCGACGGTTTCACATGTCGCAGCCCCCCAGGGATGGCGAGGTCCCGTTTGGGTCTGCGTGTGGCCCCACTGTGCGGGCCCCCCCCAAGCAGCCCTCGAAAGTGGCGACGGTTTCACATGTCGCAGCCCCCCAAGGATGGCGAGGTCCCGTTTGTGTCTGCGCGGGGCCCCGCTGTGCGGGCCCCCCCCTAAGCAGCCCTCGAACGTGGCGACGGTTTTACATGTCGCAGCCCCCCAGGGATGGCGAGGTTCTGTTTGGGTCCGCGTGTGGCTCCGTTGTGCGGGCTCCCCCAGCAGCCCTCAAACGTGGCGACACTGTCACATTTCGCAGCACCCAAGAGGGATGCGAGAGGAAAGAACCGAAAGGAACGAGCAGAGGAGTGTGGGTATGGTAAAAATTTCGGGGGTCTTCTTCGGCAAAAGGAGGAAGAAAGAAACCGGAACCAGAAGAACGAAAACCGGAACCAAAACTGGAACCAAAAAACTTTCGAAAAAAACAAACTGGAACTGGAACCAGAACCGGAACCAGAACCATAATCGCGAAAACTCATGGAACCGAACAACAAATAAGAAGAAACAAACCATAACCCAAACGGGCACATTAACTGCAAGAACCGTGACTTGGAAATCTTCTTCAAAACCGGGAGAAGAAAAAAAACGGAACTGGAACCGGAATCGGATCCAGAACCGTCACCTGGGGGGTCTTCTTCGAGGCCGGAGGAAAAACAAATCCAGAACCAAAACCAAAACCGACACCGGAACCTGGCTGACACCGACCAAAAAGGAATTTAAGAAAACGGAGCCAGAAACATAACCAAAACAACAACCAAAAAACGCCCGAAATAGGTACGATCAGCACATGTTGCCCAACACCGACAGCGGCCGCTGTGGGGCAGACGGGCAGCCGGCCGACTGTCTCACATTGAGAATATCCGCGGGGACACTTACACAGGGTCTTTGATTCGCCGCCTCCTGCTGCCTGCAAGCTGGGTCGTCGCTGGCGTGCCAGACTTTGATGGGTTTGGCTCTTCCGAAAGGTCCCCAATGTGGTCTCGGCTGGCCTCGCGGAAGGTGAGCGTTTCTTTATTCGGCGTTTCGCCATGGGGCGGAAGGGGGGGGGTCTGGCTCCAGACGTCTGCTTAGTGTGACTGGCTGTAAGAGCGCTGCCTCTGGGTGAGACTCCACCCGCTCGAAGCAGGCGCCCCAAAACATTCAAGATCTACTCCATGGGGGTGTGCGAGGGCCCGCGCCGATCGGCAAAACAATGAATCCGCCAGCCCCCTTGTGGGCTCACCAGGCTGTAGGGCTAAGGTGCGCAGTTTCCTGTACCAGTTGCAGCTTCCAGTTTCCACTGTTTTAGTTCTGCTTCTTGCTGCTTACTGTTCCTTGTTGACTTCTTGCTGCTTACTGTTCCTTGTTGATGGACCGCGCGAGTGGGGGAGGCCCAAAACGAGCATTTTTACCACGCCCAAAACGTGTTGTCTGATTAGCTGGGGTGGGTAAGAATTGACACCCCTCACGCAGATCGGCGGGGTCAAGGTCCAAAAACACATGGGATTTGCTACATTTCTGAAATTCGGTGGCACCCCTCACGCAGATCGGCGGGGTCAGGGTCCAACAACACACGGGATTTGCCACATTTCCGAAATTCGGTGGCACCCCTCAAGCAGATCGGCGGGGTCAGGGTCCAAAACCGCATGGGATTTGCCACATTTCTGAAATTTGCTGGCACCCCTCACGCATATCCGTTGGGTCAGGGTCCACAACCATAAGGGATTTGCAACATGTCTTACACTCGGTGGCACCCCTCACGCAGATCGGCGGGGTCAGGGTGCAAAAACAGCAAGGATTTGCCACATCTCTGAAATTCGGTGGCATCCCTCACGCAGATCGGCGGGGTCAGGGTCCAAAAACACACGGGATTTGCCACATTTCCGAAATTCGGTGGCAATCCTCACGCAGATCGGCAGGGTCAGGGTCCAAAAACACAAGGGATTTGCTACATGTCTGAAATCTGCCGGCACCCCTCACGCAGATCGGCGGGTCAGGGGGCCTGCGGCAGGGGGCGAAGCCCTTACGGATTAAAAACTATCACAAGGCACCCCAACAGAAACCCAGATCCCCAAACATCGCCTCCAAGACTGCGAAGGTGGCCTCCACAATGGCCACCACTATGCTTCGGTCGAGCATGTCCTCCTACAAGGGGATTTTGGAAGACTCATTTAAATACCCAAAACATGTTCAAACATGCTCAAGAATACGCAAAACAACTTCCCAGGCTATTTTCCAATATGTTTAAACATTCCTCCTGTAGAGGGACATGCCCGACTTAAACCCAGATCCCCAAACATCGCCTCCAAGACTGCGAAGGCGGCCTCCGCAATGGCCACTGCTGTGCCGCAGAGGCCTGAAAACACCCCCCAAGACTGGCCCCGCATGGTCACGGAACCTCCCAAGGAAACTTTCATGAATATCGTGTAACCGATCCCCGTCCCCAGCGGCGTGGCCTGGGCCCCACTGGCCGATTTACCTCCCAGGATGGCCGTTCTCTTCGGGTTTCGAGGGGTGTATCCCCGACTGGGGTGGTAATTTTGTGGGGGTCTCGAAGGGGATGGGGATGGGGATCGGTTAAACGATACCGATCTCAAGAGGCAAACATCAACGCAAACCCAAACAGATCTCTGGCCTGCTTTGCCGTCTCACAGTTCCGCTCTCAAGGAGGCACATGTGAGCTCCAGGGGGGGCCCAAGTTGGCCACAAGACGGCCCCGAGAGCGTCCAGGAACGCCCCAAAGGCGTCTCGATTGGGCCTCGAAGACGTGACTTTCGGGGGGCACCGCGAACTGAGGTCCCGCCCCTTGTTTGATCGATGTCCTCCAAGATGACTCCAGGAGAGCCCCCAGGGCCGCCAAGAGGGCCCCGAGTGAGCCCCCAAGAGGGCCCCGACAGGCCGCCCCCAAATGGCCCCAGCGGGGACCCAAGATGGCCCAGGCGAGCTGCCAAAATGCTCCAGTGCCGAAAGATCCGCGAAGGCTTTTGCTTTTTCGCTGGCTCCTGGGCCTTATCGGGCAGATCCCGATCTTCTGCTCGACGGCCACAGTCCAAACAAGGTCACAAGAACATTAAAGGGAAATTAGGACACACAAATAAATACACACAAATAAAAATATCCCCCATATTTTCCTATATTTTCTGGGTTTCTGTCTTCCCCCCCACTTCCCATATTTTCCCATATTTTCTGGGAATCGCCGATTCATTGTGTCTGTGTGTGTTTTTCCCCTCCTGAAACATGGATCAAGAACATGGGCCTCTTCGCCGAGAGCCCGAGGCCCCATGGAGATGTCCGAAACGGAGACCGTTCCAGGGCGGATAATCCACCCAACGGGGAAGAACATGAGGGTACCCTACGGTAGGTTCGCGCGGCGTCGGCGCGCGCAAAGGTTTTCGACACCACGTCGATCATTCAACCTTGAACCGATCGCGGCCCCGATCGTTCAAGGTTGAATTCCGTCGGGTCCAATGGCGTAACTGTGTTCCTCGGTGCTTCCGCGTCGCAGAATTCAACCTTGAACGCCTCCGCCAGCGTCGCCGGCGCGCCATCGCCGCACGAACCTACCGTATACAAAAATATGACTGTTCTTAACCCTCGTGCCAGCTGTATCGGAAGATTCGCGAAGGATCTTGCTGTTTGGCTGCCTCCTGGGCCTGGTGAACGTTTTCTTATTCGGCGTTTCGACATTGGGCGGAGGGGGGGGAGGGGGGGGGTCTGGCTCCGGAGCTCTGCTTAATGCGACTGTTTGCAGCTGTGCGTCCTGTGGAGGAGACTCCACCTGCTTGAAAACGCGCCCCAAACAGACAAGATCTACTCCATGGGGGGATGGGGATGCGAGGGCCACCGCCGATCGGCAAACCAATGTACAAGGAAACGGTATCCTGCTCAGGCAGATCCCGAAATCCTCTGCTTGACGGCTGCTACGCCTCCCCCCACTCTGTGCTCCACTATGGGTGCTCCCGCGCCTCCCGGCGCCCTGGAATCGTTGCTGGATGGGCAGGCAGGCGGGGATACAGCCAAGCCGCTGACATAAGGATCACTTGTTGGGCGCGAATTGAAGGGGGGCGATCGATGGGGGGGGGATGGAGTGGAGGGGGAGAAAAGGTGCCCTTTTCGGGCCCTGCAGGACCCCCTCGAAAGGCCTCTTTCGGGGCCCTGACAGGCCCCTTTTCTGCAGCCCTCACTGCCCCCCTTATCTATTGCCCCCCCCACCAATAATACGCGCCCAACCGCCAGCCACCCAGAATCGGTCGATGTTGAAAGATCTGACGTCAGAAACCAGCGCCGAAGTCGGCGCGACACGAAGCTGCCGCAGTTAGCTCTCCAAACCCTGGGCTGAGGAGCCCTCGCTGCGCGCCCCCCCCAATTTATCGGCCCCCCAGTGCGCGGCCTCGAAACCTTGGGCTTAGGTCGGGTATGTCCTCCTACAGGCGGATTTTGAAAGAAAATTGAAAAATATACGCAGAAGATGCATCAAACTGGTTGAACAAATAAAGGATCGCCTCCACATCATGTTTGGGCTACTTTCGAAGATCCCTCCTGCAGAGGGACATGCCCGACGGAACCTTGGGCTGAGGGGCTCTGGTCTTCGGGCAGCTCCTGAGATCTGGGTCGGGGACCCTGCTTGTGACTACCTACCAGACCACCCCAACCCAACCCGAAGACCCGAATTTCGGGTTGGGGGGGGTACGGGTTCCATACGTGTTTTCTCGATGTTCCCCGACCCCCCCACACTGGAAATGGAGGTCAATTTGAGGCCTTCGGGTTGGGTTGGGGTGGTTTGGTGGGTGGTGAGCTTGTGGCCGAGGGTCGCCGTGGCCCGAAGGGCCCCTTCGGGCCTCCACGCAGCGTTCTCTACTGTGGCACGACGGCTGCACGCGAAGCGCCAAGAGCCGAGGATTGAGCAGGGAATCTCACCTGCACCCTGGCGGCGCTCCTTGAACTCCTTCTTATCCCCAGCCTCAGCCTCTTGCTTTCCACCCTATCCTCATCCTCATCTCATCATCTTGCTTTCATCCTCATCCTCCATGCGCGTGTGCAGCAGGGTGTTCGGGAGAAACCGCAATCAACACACTACCACTCTGTTCCGAGTCGGACAAGATTTCGGGAAAGCAACACAGACTGCCGCGGGAAGATAAATGCAAGTTTCGATGGGGACATCCCTCGCAGTGTCCACAGCGTGACACGGGGTAGACGGGGGCGACTGAGTGGAGGGGGGAAGGGAAGGGGGGGGGGGGAAGCAGGGGGGGAGCGGGAACGGGAACGTTGGATGGCAGGAGGCAGGGAGGGCCCTGGGCCGATCCAAGCGAGGCGGAGCAAAGGAGCTCCGCTCGAGGACGCGCCGACGACCGACAGGCCGGTCGCCCGTCTGGAGCCTCGGCGCCCAGGCTGTTGGCATCACTGTAGACGTGGAAGCGGCAGACGCTGCCCGGCGTCAGCGCCGATACCCAATACTCGAGGTCCACCTGGGGGGTGGGGCCCTCCTCCGCCTCCTCCTCCTCCACCTCCTCCTCCTCCTCCTCTTCCTCCTCCTCCTCCTCCTCTTCCTCCTCCTCCTCCTCCTCCTACTCCTCCTCCCCCTCCTAGCGGGAAACGCAAGGCACGCTGCAAACTGCCTGGGCCAATGCGGGAAAGGCGGTGGGCAAGATCTGTCCACACAACATCAAGAAAAATCTGGCGAATCAGAAAGTAAGTGTTCGATCGGGCCGCGTCGGCATGGAGCCAGAATCGAAGCGAATCGGCCACGCCAGAGAGCACAACAACGCCATGCAACCATCGGGCCGCCTCGGGTCGTCGGAATATCGGGACCGCATCGAGTCTTGTTTGCCGATAGGATCGGTCGGATTGAAAGTGACAGTGATGAACCACAATTTTGTCTGCATGTGTATGATTATCCTCATAAGTAAGACTCAACTAATAACTGTCCGTAATGTGTGCGCGTAGGCCGCAACCGCTGAATCAAGAACGAACCCTCCGTGTGGAACCCAAGTGTGACGCCGTAAAGGTCTGAAGCCGATGTGAATGTGTGAAGCCCACCAGGTGTGCGCGTGGGGAGACCTACTCATGTATGCGGGGCAATCTGGGTGGAACCTGTGTGGTAGCCCCCTTCGGAATGTCTGACAGATGTCTCACTCCCTGCGTCCACCTGGCTGGAATTCGAGCCCGTTGCTCTTTCGCGCATGGCCGAGGTGCGCTCATAATCGGCCCTCCCTCACTCGCTCCCTCCTTCCCTCACCCATCCTCCGCATCCTCTTCCCCATTCAGCCTCCCTCCCAAAGCAGTGGGAGTGGCCTTGTGGACGTACAACTTCCCCCTGTGGATGGCCGCTTTCGGGTGGTCCGCGGGCCCCCCGTGGGGCAGAAACATGTTCGAAACGCGGCCGCCCCGCGAGCGATTCTGGATGACCGAGGGCAAGATCGCCTGCAGGGGGGGAGGGGAGAAGGGAGAGGAAGAAGCGTGGGACTGAGAGCAAGGGGGGAGGAGGGCGACTCGGATGAGGAGTGGAAGGAAGACATGTTTTTTAGGGGGTCAACGGCGACTTGGGTCCAAGACGCGGTCGAACGACGGTGGGACGCATCCGTAGCGGATTGAAGCACGTAGACGGGGGACAGGCGCGGAGGGGAGAGACAGCAGCGGGCGGCGGAGCTCGCTCAGATCGTGACGGCCTAGAACGTGGAAGAAAACAAACATACTGATAATACCGGCAAGAAGCATGCTACCAATAATAAGGCTAAGAAGCATAGCAAGTAGGCACCTAAACATAAGACAAATCCTACGATCAATAATAACAAGAAACGCATGGGGGTGGGGAGGGATGAGCCGGATATTTCGATTCATACGCTACTGTGTCTCGTCGGTGTGCCTTTGGCACATCTGCGGGCGCTGAGCTAAAGCGACTACCCCATTTTGAAAGGGAGCCGCCCTCCATACGAGTAGCCATTGCAAGCTCTTACGAAGAATGTGCGCGGCGACAGGGCGAGAGCCCCATTTTGAAAACCAACCCTCCATCCACGTAATTGCATCGTTAAAGGAACCGTCCTACACCCTTGTGACTCATACGAACCTTTCATGATAATGTGCGCGGCGCTGAACCGATGACTCCATTTTGAAAACCACCTCCCTCCTCTCCTCTTGAGGTTACACGCTTTGAAGACACAAGTGTCTGGCGCTCTGGTGAGAATTCTGTTTATGACCCTGCCTCCAGTCTTGTAGAGGTTACAAGCTGCTGCAACGAATGTGCGGGGCACTGAGGCAAAGACCCCGTTTTGAAAACGACCCCCTGCATCGGAGGAGCTGTTGCAAGTATCAATATTCAGGACCATAATGAATGTGCCCATGGACACGCAGATAACACACACACAAATCCCAGGCTTCCTCATATTCCCTACCTAGGCTCTGCCTAGAAAGGTTCTTACTCTCTAGCTTAAAGGGGCCGGGCAGTGGAAAGCGCCCCGGGCGGTTCCCCCAGTCCCCGCCCCGCGGTTCCCCCAGTCCCCTGGGAGCTTTAGCTTTAGCTTAGCTTCAGCTTAGCTTCAGCTTAGCTTTAGCTTAACTTTAGCTTAGCTTTAGCTTAGCTTTAGCTTAGCTTTAGCTTAGCTTTAGCTTAGCTTTGGCTTAACTTTAGCTAGCTTTAGCTTAGCTTTAGCTTAGCGTTGGCTTACTTTAGCTTAGCTTCAGCTTAGCGTTAGCTTAGCGTTAGCTTAGCTTTAGCTTAGCTTCAGCTTAGCTTCAGCTTAGCTTTAGCTTTAGCTTTAGCTTAGCTGTAGCTTAGCTGTAGCTCAGCTGTAGCTCAGCTGTAGCTCAGCTTTAGCTTCGCTTTAGCTTAGCTGTAGCTTAGCTTTAGCTTAGCTTTACTGTTACTACTAATGCTGCTTTCCTAGGGGCTCCAACTCCTAGGTAGGGTCGCACTGGGATAATTCGTCAATGCTTTTTTTTTTTTTTTTAGGATTTCCGTCTTCCCCCCCCCACTTCCCATATTCCCCTATGTCTTCTGGGGGATCGACGATTCACTGTGCCTGTGTGTCTCCTCCCCTCCTGGCATAACTTGTGCGGAAGTCTCGTGCGGGGCGCCCGGCTCGCTGCACCGCCACGCCCGGGGGGGGGGGGGCGCGAGAAACGGATGGTCTCTTCACGAGGGAGCGGGGCGGAGCTTACACGCAGGTTGGAAGACGTACAGTCGGGGTCTTGACCTAAGGAACCCAAAATAAGGAACAAGGCCCCTTTTTTCCATGAGTTAAACTTCGATTTCCGATCGAAAGCATAAGGAAAACTTGAGGCAAGCTGCGAAACACTTAAGGAACGCGGAGCCCCTCCCCAACGAAAAGGGTTCCTTCTTCAGGGCCCCGACTGTATGTGCAGTGGAGGCCAGCCCGCAAGAAACCGTCCACAAGAAACCCAACCCTGAGCCCCCAGGACGTCCATGGACTTTTGGTGTGGGCACGTCGCGCTTTCCATCGCGGAACCATCGAAACCCAAGAAACCCAGGGCACTCTGGAGGCAAGGAGGGTGTTTCTTGGCATGGATCCCCCGCTTTCGAAACATGCAGTAGGAAGGCGGATCTAGTATGTCGGGTTCGGGCCCGCCCAGACAATGACGAGCAGCGCTCAAAACCTTGCCGACCACTGAAATAGGAAGGCGTCAAGCATGTTGAGGTCAAGGCAATGCACGAATGCTTACTTTCAACAACCAGCGTGCATGCCTCGGGGGAAACGCCCGACGGCTATCCCCAGAAGCAGGGGGGAAACATCGGGCACGCGCCAACACGGATTGAGGCTCCGCGAGACTGGCGCGCGGGGGCCAGATTCAGGTCGAGCCTGTCCCCCGACAGGCGAATGTTGGGCGAGACACAAAACATGTCCAAACAATATTCAAAAGATGCCCACCAATCCTCAAGCATATGCAAAACACATGGAAGATAGTATTCAAGACTATTCAGGCATAGCCAGCATATGATATACAAATCGTCCCCAGGGCATTTTTACTATTTTTGAGTATTCCCCCTAGCTTTGTTTTATTGTTTGACTATTTTTCACTAGAAGGACAGGCCCGACGTAAGGCCAACTGCGCGAATCGGGGAACACACCCCCGACGCGTGAGGCCAATACCGCCCGATCGGCCCAACCGACCCCTCCCGTGACGATCACCTTCCGTGACGCCCGCCGCGCCCTCCATTTGACGCCCGAAATGGGTACGGACAAAAACTGGTACAATGCCCAAACCAACACATGCTGTCCCAAACCAACAGCGGCCGCTGTTGGACAGGCGGCCTCCTGTCTCACATGGACACAGGCCGCGGCGGCGCGGACAGCGAATCTGGTTCAAAATGAACAGGAACTGCTGTTGAGCTTTGTACAGTCGGGGCGTTGACCTAATGAACCCTAAATAAGGAATGAGGCCCCTTTTTACCATAAGTTAAATTTCGACTTGCTATCGAACACATAAGGAAAACCTGAGGCAAGCTGTGAAACACTTAAGGAGCGCGGAGCCCCTCCCCAACGAAAAAGGTTCCTTCTTTAGGGCCCCGACTGTACCCATTCTTTCCGTGCCCATCTCGTTCGTGCAGACTCCAGGCCTCCCTCCTGCCACACACGCGCGCATTGGGGGTGAGGCGAGGGGGACGCCACGGGAGGGGATGGTCTGTCAGGGCTTGGCTAGGTCGCCCCTGGATCTTGCAACGGATCACGCCGATTCTGTACGGCAGAAGCAAGCGGCGCTAATCCACGCGCCTTGATCCACATTTGCGCTTACCCGGGAGGGGAGGACCAGAAGGGAGCAGCATTGGTGGTCCAATAGAGTGCCTGTGGCAAAGAAATGCAGCCGAGGGCCCCCAAACTGCAAGATAGCGAACCAAGCGTTCTTGAGCCATTCAAGGGGCACGGCGACACGTGGGGCTCTGCAGGGGTGTGCCCCTGGCCGCGAGCAAGACCCTCAATGGGGAACACCGTGAGCGGGCTCGCCTCGACACTTCACCACTGTTTGGGCCAGAGGCGAACGTCGACCAAGCCCGCCCCAACATACCCTAACCACAGCAGCTTCGTGTCGTGCCGACTTCGGCGCTGGTTTCTGACGTCAGATCCGCCGATCCCTTGGGGTTCATCGGCGTGTGAAATGCTTCCCCCTCCCCAAACCCCTCCTCTGGACCACAGTTTGGTCGACCTGGAGGGGGTTGGGGGTCTCCCTGGGGACCGCCCGAACGCGACATGGGGGACAAGGGGCCTTAAAACGGGCCAAGAGGGCCCGAAGAGGGTCCCCAGAAGGTCCAAGAGGGGCACGGGTCGGCGAAATATCCCGCTCAGACACCCAAGACTGGCCCCAGACGGCCTCAGAGGCCCCCAAGATGTTCCAAGAAGTCGCCACGGGGCGTTCCAAGAGGCCTTCAAGAAGCAAGCATCGTCCGAAGAAAACCTTCATGTTTGGCACATTCGCCTTTTGTGCACTCACGACACCCACCCAGGTCGAACCGGCCTTCAAGATCGACCCGAGACGGGCAAAGAGGCCCTCAAGAGGGCTCCAAGAGGGCACACGAGGGCCCCAAGACGGCCTCAGAAGCTCCCAAGACGGCCGAGGAGGCCCCGGGGACGGCCGCAAGGGGAGGCCTAGAGGGGCAGCCCGAACTGGCATTTCGAGCTCCCGTCCCCAAGATGCCCCCAAGAGTCCCCCAAAAGCTTCAAAGAGGCTCCCAGAAAGCGCCCAAAGGGCGCCCCCAAAGCCCCTAGACGCCACCAGGAGGCCCCCAACAGGTTCAAAAACTGCCTCCATGCCGCTCCCGACGCGCCTCCCACGCGACCCCATCAGCCATCCGAACGGCGTTAAATTCGCAACCCAGACCCAGAAGGCCCGCCAGACCCTCAAAAGGCCAACACGAGGCCCCCACTGGCAGGCATCCACTACACCCTTTCGGGCCCGACAGGCCCCCAATCATCGCACCCCCATTTAGACGAGCGCGTTCCACTACTCGCAAAGCACCTGCTCGCAAATGGCCTGGATCCCCCGCGGAGGATCTGCGATGAATGACATCGAAGCAGACATGTGTTTTTCGGACGTTTGCGAGTATCACTTTTCAGCGAGCGAAGAACGGTATACAATAAACTGTTTCGCTGTCGGGGGCGCCTGTCCCTGGGCGGCTGGAAAATTTATACCCCTACGGTGCCACCGTAAGGGTATAAACTTTCCAGCCGCCCTGGGACAGGTGCCCCCGACAGCGAAACAGTTTATTGTATACCGTTCTTCGCCCGTTGAACTTTGCGAGTAGTGGAACGCGCTCGTCGACCACTCGCGCCCAAGGCGGCGTTCAACGTTGGATGCCGGCGGCGGGATCGCCGCCGGTCGACACGACGGGAACCTGCCGCAGGCCTCGCGGCGCAGGGCGAAGGAGGAGCGCACCGCCCCTCGTCGCCCCAGGCCTGCGCCCTGGGTCCGACAGGCAGGGAGAACACAGAGGACGTACGCGACCAGCCACGTACACGAGTACAGTGAGGGTCTTGACCTAAGGAACCCTAAATAAGGAACGAGGCCCCTATTTTCCATGAGTTAAACTTCGATTTCCCATCGAAAGCCGAAGGAAAAGCTGAGGCAAACTGCGAAACACTTAAGGAACGCGGAGCCCCTCCCCAACGGAAAGGGTTCCTTCTTCAGGGCCCCGACTGTACGCCCCCCGAGTCCGCGAGAAAAGCCTCGTGATGAGAACGTTCGTGCACTGCATAGTTTCGAAACCCATGTGGATTCATGTGCACGTTAGTCGGACGAAGAATAATAAGGTAGAAGCATGAAGCAGGATGGCGGATCAAGTAGATTGGGTTCGGGCCCACCCACATAACAACAAGCAACATCAACAACACATCGATGATTGAAGTCGGAAGGCGCTTGAAGTAGATGGGATTCGGGCCCGCCCACAGAATAACAGACAACATCGTAAACACATCGATGCTTGAAGTAGATTGGGATCTGGGGATCCCAAAATACATACTTTCAACGGTCGGCGTACGTGTCGGGGGTGGCCATGAGGGGGGCGTCCTAAAGGGGGGGGCGCAAATCATGGCCAGCGGCATGTGCGCGGCCAAGGGGGGGACTCAGGGACGTAATGAAACAAGAAGAAGCGCCATGACATCTGAGGAAATGCCATGGCCCACGCCACGAGATCCCCCCCCCTAATCATCACACCCCTCTCTGCCGCCCCCGAACGTGTACGTCCTTCGCTCGCTCCGGAACAGGGCGCCGCCAGGCTGCCAGATCCACGGGCCTGTGCGGCTTGATCCACCCGAACTTGCCTTTCCACTCGAGGACCTGCGCGGTGGGCGGAGGCCGGGCGCTGTCTTGTGGGTTTTTTCGTCCTCCCCCTCGCTTCCCACATCTTCCTAGAGCTTCCCGACATCGACGCATGTTTGTGCCTGCCTCCATTTGTCCCCTCCCGAATCCTACCCGTCGACCCGATCCCTTCCTTCCCTCGTGCCTTCACGATCCTGGCCACCCTCGTGGAGTCCATTCCGTTCCGCTCCGCTCTCCATCGATCTCGGATCAAACGTTGAGCTCCCCTCCCTCGCCGCCCTTGTTTTTGTTGGCGCGGGCTGCATGCACCAACTGGCGCCCGAAGGGTCCGCGGGAAAGCAATGATTAGGTCGGGCATGTCCCCCTACAGGCGGATTTTGCACGAAATGTTAAAAGTAGCCAAACATAATCAGACATGGTCGAACAATAATAAAAGCATCGTCCCCGGGCTATTTTCTGACTATTCTTGAATGCCCCCCCTGTGAAAGGGACAAGCCCGACTGAAAAAAACGAGGAGTGCAGAGCATTTTGTTTTTTTTTAACCCGGACAGAACACCTGGGCGACACAACCCGAAGGGAGGTGCCCAAGGTGCCTGCATGAATTCACATGCAATCGCCACTCGCAACACGAACGGCGGCACGGACCCGCCCCAGGCGTTATCCGCGCCGCCGTTGCGAGGTGCCTCGAGATGCCATCCCGAGACACGGCCACCGGCACCACCCCCACTTGGCCGCCGGCCTCAAGCAGCGGAGGCCCCGCTGCCCGAGGACTGAAGTTCCCGCTGCCCGAGGAGTGCAGTGCAACAGCACCTGCCGAAGAGCGGGATGGCAAACGCAAGATGGCATGGCAGGTCTGGAACTCATGATTGAAGGGGCCCCAGGACACACAAATAAATACACACAAATAAACATATTCCCCATATTTTCCAATGTTTTCGGGGTTTTTGTCTTCCCCCCCCCTTCCCATATTTTCCCATATTTTCCTGGGGGTCGACGATTAATTGTGTCTGTGTGTTTTTTCCCCTCCTGAATGATGGCGAGCGCGGAGAGGCCGAGGACTCGCCTCCCTCCTCTGCCTCCCCTCGCCCTCTCTGCAGCGGGGGCCCATGCCGAGAAACACCCTGAGCTTACACCTTAGGCGATGCTTAAGAAAACCCCAGTTTTCGGCCAGAGTCTCGATTATTCTTGACGTTTCGATGTAAATCTGAAGATTTTAGTAGACATGTTGGGTTTTTATTCAAGTTCTGAGACTATGAATTTCTTAACCCATGATTTCTTAAGCATTTCGCAGGGTGTACACCACAAATCCATGGGGGCCCATGCCAAGAAACACCCTCCTTGCCTCCAGGGTGCCCTGGGTTTCTTGGGTTTCGATGGCTTTGCGATGGAGAGCGCGACGCGCCCACACCAAAAATCCATGGACGCCCTGGGGTCTCAGGGTTGGCTTTCTCGTGGAAGGTTCCTTGTGGACTGACCTCCACTGTGCTCCTCCCTCTTCCTCCTCCCCTAACGTCCATCACTCCTTACTCTTGCAAAATCCTGGCGCAGACTTGGCGCAGAAGCCACACCCTTTTCGCCCCGAACCGATGAACATGTGACATTACTACCGCCCCCACACACAATACATAATGAAATTCCAACAACATGAAATCCGATGCCGCAGACGGAGCCAAGCAGCGTCGGGGACCGGCCATCCCCCAGGCACTGCTGGCCCAACACTCGAACTCCTCCTCCTCCTCCTCCTCCTCCTCCTCTTGCTCCTCCTCCTCCTCAAGACTGAAGATCTGGAACCAATGGAAATCCGATGCCGCAGACAGAGCCAAACAGCGTCGGGGACTGGCTATTCCCCAAGCACTGCAGGCCCAACACTCGAACTCCTCCTCCTCCTCCTCCTCCTCCTCCTCCTCCTCCTCCTCAAGACTGAAATCCCGGAACCACTGGAAATCCGATGCCGCAGACACAGACGGAGCCAAGCAGCGTTGAGGACCGGCCATCTCCCAAGCACTGCAGGCCCATCACTCGAAGTCATCCTCCCCAAGACTGAAGAACTGGAACCTCTGGAAATCCGATGCCGCATACGGAGCCGAGCAAAGCAGCGTCGGTCGGGATCCACCAGAAGGGGGGGTAACCCTGAGGGGAGGACATGAGTTCGATCATTTGGTGCACCGAATTGCCGCAAACAGATGCCCCACCAATCGGCAACTATTGGGAGCGGCCAGCGGCTGGGGGCATCTGTTTTGGGCGGTTCGATGCAAAAGCCGATCGACCTCACACACACACACACACCGCACGCACACACGCACACACGCACGCACACACGCACACAAACACGCACGCACGCACGCACGCACACACACAACACACAACGCACACACACACACACTACACACACACCACACACCACACACACCACATACAACACACCACACACCACACACCACACACAACACACAACACACACAACACACAACACACACCACGCACAACACACAACACAATGCACACAACACACAACACACAACACAAACAACACACTACATACAACACACAACATACACAACACACACACCACACAACACACACAACACACAACACACACACGCAACACACAACACACACCATACAGGCACAAAACGCACAACACACAACACACAGCACACAACACACACCACACACAACACACACAACACACACAACGCACACAACACACACATAAGACACAACACACACACAACACACACCACACACCACACACACAAGACACACACACATAACACACAAAACACAAAACACAACACACACAACACAAACAACACACACACACCACACACACACCACACACAACACACAACACACACACACGACACACACGACACACACAACACACACAATACACAACACACACAACACACAACACACACAACACACACAACACACAACACACACAACACAGACAACACAGACAACACACACACACGCAACACACACAACACACAACACGCACAACATACACAACACACAACACACAACACACACAACACACACACACACGCACGCACGCACGCACGCACGCTCGCACGCTCGCGCGCACGCACGCACGCGCACACACACACACACACGCACGCACGCACGCGCAAACACACACACGCGCACACACAGACACACACACACACATTCACACACATTCACACACACGCTTACACACTTACACACACTTACACACAAACACAGGGCCACATCCCCCCTTTGCGGGATCCCGAGTCGGGGATCGGCCATCTCACAAGCACTGCAGGCCCATCACTCGTAATCCTCATTCTCAAGACTGAAATTCCGGAGCCACTGGAAATCCCACGCCGCATACGGGACCACGCAGCGTCGGGGACCAGCCACCCCCCAGGCACTGCAGGCCCATCACTCGAAATCCTGCTCCTCAAGAGTGAAGTTCCGGAACCACTGGAAATCCAACGCCGCACGTTTTCTTATTCGGCGTTTCGACATTGGGCGGAAGGGGGGGGAGGGGGTGGTGGCTCTGGACCTCTGCTTAGGGCTGTTGTTTGAAACCGTGCGTCCTAGGGGGTACGGGCTCGGCCTGCTCGAAACAGGCGCCAAAAACAGCCAAGCTCTACTCCACGGGGGGAGGGTTTTTTGGGGCCCGCGCCGACCAGCAAAACAGTGAATAAAAAAACGGCCACACACTCGGGGGCGCGCAAACATGGATTAGCGATCCATGGATTTGGCGCGCGGTCGCCAAATCCATGGATCGGGGAAGGTGCCCTCCCCCAAATGCGGCCGGCGCCGCCTCGTTCGGTGGCGGAAATCCGCGATTTCCCATGGAAACGGGACCCGTCGCTAATCTACGCCCCCTTGATCCATGTTTGCGATCACCTGACACACGGAGCCAGGCAGCGTCGGGGACTGGCGGCCCATCACTCGAGCTCCCCCCCTCCTCGGGGGGGGGAGGGGCGTTTAGGGCCCGCGTCGATCGGCAAGACAACGCACACGGAAACGCTCACACACGGAGCCAGGCAGCGTCGGGGACTGGCGGCCCATCACTCGAGCTCCTCCTCCTCCTCCTCAAGACTCCTCCTCAAGACTCCGGCAGCGCGTCTCGGGGCCCTAGAGCGCTCGACCCCTGTCCTGCTTGGGCGCCCGAGTTGGGCAAGGCAAAAATGGGCGCAGGGAACAACAGCACGTGTTGAACAGCACCACCTGCTCCTCCTCCTCCTTCCCTCCTCCTCCTCCTCCTCCTCCTCCTCCTCCTCCTCCTCCTCCTCCTCCTCCTCATCCTCCTCCTCCATCCTTTTCTCTTCCTCCTCCTCCTCCACCTCTTCCTCTACCTCCTCCTCCACCTCCTCCACCTCCTCCTTCACCTCTTCCTCCTCATTCTATCCCGCTTCCTGATGAACTCCTCCTGATGAGCGGCAACTGTTTGGCAAGCGGCCTTCTCTCGAGTGGACCTCGCCCGCGGCGGCGCCGTCAACAAACGCAAGAATTGCTGTTGGTCTTTGTCCCCATTCTTGCCGTACCCACGTCGTACCGCTGCCCGGTCTTCAGACGAACAGTCATCCTGAACAACTGTTTGGCGGTCCCGGGCCCCGAAGGTGCGCTCCAGATGACGGAGTTGCCGCAAACATTGAGACCCGATGTTTCAGAGTCTCTGGAGGTCTGGCGTCTTGCCTGCAATGCTTTGATTTTTGACGTGGGGCAAGCTTGGATCGCCTGGGATCGTAGCGTCAGGATGGCAGACATAACACGGCGCGATGGAAACAGACTTTGGCACAGTGGCCACAGGTGGGGCGGCAGGCAGGTGCAGGAAGCAGAGGGGTACAGGGCAATTTTTGATACATGGAATTTTAAAAACAACATAGGATTTTCGGATTTTTAATACATGATTCATTTATGAATGAATTTTTGCATGAACTCATCGTTGTTGTTAGTACTGGATCCCTGCATTTTTAATACATGATCCGCACGCGGAGCATGTATTGAAAACTGCACTGTAAGAAGATCTGGAAGACGAGGAACTTGCATAGGCGCAGGGCAGCCGTGCAGGCGGCCAGTGAGGAGGAGAGGTCGGCGGCGAGCGAGGGGGGAAATGAGTAGGGGCGGGCCTTCTCAGAAGGCTCGGAAGTCCCCGGCCTTCTGAGAAATCTGTTGGGCCTTTTCCCGAAGACAAAGAAGACCTTCCCCCCTGGGCCATAACTCGGATCTCCGGTGGCCAGTCGGGACGATCCGGGCATCCCCGAAATGCACTCGGCGAGGCGCAGCCGCTGGAACGCATCCCGAGGCCGGGAAACCGCCGAGAAATTAAGGAAACGCCCAAACGCCTCGAACTTCGAATCTCGAAATTCTCCCCCTGTCATCCAGGCTCGAACTGTCGGAAAGGGTGGCAAAACGATAACTTTGGGTCGGGTATGTCCCCCTAAACGGAGGTTTGTGGGCAGACAGTTCAAAATATAAAGACATACTCCAAAATGGTTTTAACAAAAATAAAATAATCGTCCCCAGACTATTTTCATTATTTTTGAACAGTCCTCCTGTAGAGGGGCAAGCCCCATAGCCCTATGAGAGTTGGCGGCGCTCCAGGAAACAAGGGGGGGGGGAGGAACCAGCCCAGCGGCGGAGGTCCCCGACCACGGAGGGGGGGAGGAAGAGGCGGGAAGTCAGAGGAGGCAAGCGTACCCGTGCTGCTGTGCTTGCCTCGTTCTCCCCTCGTTGGGCTTCCTGGGAGGAATGGTGTGACCCCTGACTTGACCATGTAAAACAGGGCTAGGATCGGGATACATCGCTCCAGAGCGTTCCTGAGCTCTCTCAGAGCGTTCCGGAACGCTCTGGAGCGGCCGCGGCGCCCAATACATCCTCCAAGCCCGCCGATTCTCAGAGATTTCGAGTTATCCCGATCCGATTTTGTCCCGATCTTCGCGTCGTATTACCATAGCCTCAGGTCGGGCCTGTCCCCCTACAGGGGGATTTTGAACGAAAAATGAAAAATCCGCCGATCCGGCGTGTGAGTTTCTGAGAGCGTGGGCTTGAGCTCGCTCAAGCTTCGCTCTGCGGGGGGGGGGACCTCATTTCCGACCTAATTCAGTGCTTCGCAGGAGGGGGGGGGAGACCTCATTTCCGACCCATTTCAGTGCTTCGCAGGGGGGGGGGGGACCTCATTTCCGACTTATTTCAGTGCTTCGCACCCCCCCCCCCCTCCAGAGCGACCCCCCCCCCTGCAGAGCGCCCTCCCCCCCCCTCCTGCAGCCCAGCCCCCCCCCTTGCAGAGCGGACCCCCCCCCTGCAGCCCCCCCCCCTGCAGAGCAGACCCTCCCCCCCTCCCCACCCCCTCCCCTGCAGAGCAGACCCCCCCCTGCAGAGCGGACCTCCTCCCCCCTGCAGCCCCCCCCCCTGCAGAGCGAACCTCCCCCCTCCTCTGCACCCCCCCCCCCTGCAGAGCAGACCCCCTCTCCTGCACCCCCTCCCCCTGCAGAGCGGACCCCCCACCTCCCCTGCAGCCCAGCCCCCCCCCCCCCCCTGCAGAGCGGACCCCCTCCCGGGCAGCCCCGCCCCCTGCAGAGCGGACCCTCCCCCTCCCCTGCTCCCCCCCCCCCTCCTGCAGAGCAGACCCCCCCTCCTGCAGCCCCCCCCCCCCTGCAGAGCGGACCCCCCCTATCCCCTGCAGCCCCTCCCTCTGCCGAGCGGACCCCCCCTGCAGAGCAGACCCCCCCCCCTGCAACCCAGCTCCCCCCCCGTCGTCGTCGTCGTCGTCGTTGTCGTCGCGTCGTCGTCGTCGTCGTCGTCGTCGTCGTCGTCGTCGTCGTCGTCGTCGTCGTCGTCGTCGTCGTCGCTCGCGTCATCGTCGTCGTCGTACTCGTCGTCGTCGCTCGCGTCGCCGTCGTCGTCATCGCCGTCGTCGTCGTCGTCGTGGTCGTTGTCGTCGTCGCTCTCGTCGTCGTCGTCGTCGACGTATTCGTTTTCGTCGTCGTTTCGTCTTCCTCGTCGTCGTTCATTTCCACAGGCACCCGGAGCGCCCCGGATCGGCGGCACTGGCTGGAGGCCACTACAGTACTCACAAATGCCCCCACAAATGTTCAAACATGGTAAAACAAATATCGTCACCAGACCATTTCTGGACTATTTTTGAATATTCCTCCTGTAGAGGGACAGGCCGCCTAGACTTGAACTTAACCGTAGCCTGACCCCTCGAGGCTCGAGGCTGTGGGCTGGAGAGTGAAAGAAGGGGTCTGCAACAGGGGGTCTTCAATGGGGGCTGAATGGCCCATGTATGCTCAATGTATCGCTCATGGATGTAATCAGGTATGATTGGCATCCCATGTCGGCGGTCATGGATTTGGACGCCCGAAATGGGTACGGAAAGAGTGGGCACAATGCCCAACAGCAAATGTTGTCCCGAATCAACAGCGGCCGCTGTATTGGCACGCGGCCTTCTGTCTCAAATGGACACAGTTCGCGGCGACGCCGACAGCGAATCCTGTCCAAAAAGAACAGGAACTGCTGTTGAGCATTGTACAGTCGGGGCGTTGACCTAATGAACCCTAAATAAGGAATGAGGTCCATTTTTACCATAAGTTAAATTTCGACTTGCTATCGAACACACAAGGAAAACCTGAGGCAAGCTGTGAAACACTTAAGGAACGCGGAGCCCCTCCCCAACGAAAAAGGTTCCTTCTTCAGGGCCCCGACTGTACCCATTCTTTCCGTGCCCATCTCGTTCGTGCCGAATGGAGGGCCAATCGTTCGGGCCCACTGGGCCGGCTCCTCCCCACTTCCGCAGCAGGAGCACCGCCGGGGGAGGGCCGCCGGGGCGCCTGCAGGCGCGGGCGGCAAAGGGAAGCCAGGAGGCACGGCGCCAGACCGACGCCCAAACCTGACCCCCCCTCCTCCTCCTCCTCCTCCTCCTCCTCCTCCTCCTCCTCCAACTCCTCCTCCTCGTCCTCCTCCTCCTCCTCCTCCTCCTCCGCCTCCCCCTCCTCCCCCTCCTCCTCCTCCTCCTCCTCCTCCTCCTCCTCCTCCTCCTCCTCCTCCTCCTCCCTCTCCTCCCCCTCCTCCCCCTAGAGGCGGGCATTTTGTCTTCTCCAGGCCTCGCCAGTCACCAACGAGTCCGTCAGCCGGGTGCGCTCCAGGTACGGGCCCGTCGGGCGCCCCTGGCGCGCTCCCCCGAGGGAGGGCGCGGGCGAAAGGATGACGATGGGACGCTGCAACTCGAAGAGGACGATGTAGAGGACCAAACTCAAGGGGCCCAAGGACACACGAATAAAGACACACAAAGAAAAGGATTCCCCATTTATATATATATATATATATATATATATATATATTCTGGGTCTCTGTCTTCCCGCCCAATTCCGACGTTTTCCCATATCTTCTGGGGAATCGACGATTAATTGTGTCTGTGTGTTTTTTCCCCTCCTGACAAACATCCACCCCCATAATAACCACCCCGACACGCGCAGTCGTGTAGTAAACGCGCCCCCAAAGAGGAATCGCACAGGTCAGGGCTGTTTAGCAAAGGCCCAAAGCCGTTCAGTGAACGCCGGCTACCGGGTCTGGGTGGTTTTTCTTACCTTGAAGACGGGCAGAGTAAAGCGATGAGGAGTGTATGCCCACTCGCGCCGTGGAGCAAAAAGAACAACTGATGTGCTGACTGCATGCGAAAAGCAGGAACACGTCGAATCACAACAAAGAAACAACTTGCTGGGCCCCGGGACCGCCAAAATACAAAAGAGGACCCAGTCCGTGCCTCGAGGCACGAATTGGAGCGTCCTCAGGTCCGTTGAGTCCGCAGCCCCGCATTGCCCGGTCTCCGAGATTGCCCGTCGTTCTGCGCTGTGCCGCGTGCCCCCGCGTGCTGTCTGGGGCTGGTCGCGCGGCTTCTCCGGAGGCCAGGAGGCCTCAAGTCGGGGATGGACAGACCTCCCTCTTGTAGGGGGAAACCAAACCTACCTCGCTTTTGACCACCCTCGCTTCCAAGAGATACCAAACGATGCCAAACTACGGCCTGTACTGGTCAGGTCGCTTGACGAGGAGGCACGTGGTATGACTTGGTTTTGCCTGGAAGCGAAAGCGGGGTAGGCAACTCACGCTCCGATTGTGTAACACGTGGTTTAGAGAGAACGACCTGAGGCCCGAACCTGGCGGGCGCAAGCCTGGAAAATAACGGCCACGGCGCCATCTCGAGAACCGAAAACGGACAATTCACTGATCGACGTGTCACTGCTGGGGGTTCTGTCCACCCCCGATCAAGACGGCACCAGGTCACCCAGACGGTCCCAGAGCGCTCCGAAAGTGCCCCAGAGCGCCCCAGAAGGCCTCAAGACGGCCCAGGAGGCCGCCAAGACGCCCCAAGAGGGCCTCAAGAGGCTCCAACCGCGGGCCCCGAGAGGCAACAAGCGCTCGATATCCGCAGGCTTTGTTCGATTTTCGTTTGCTGCTCAGCTCTTCCGGTCTTCATGGCGTCCGGGACGGCCCATCGAGGCCTCCAAGATCGTGCGAGGACGGCCCGAGAGGCCTCCAAGAAAGGTCCGAAACGGCCGCCAAGATGGCCCGATATGCCCCGAAAAAAAACCCGAGACGGCCCCAAGAGAGGTCCAAGAGGGCGAACCCGAACTAACATGTCGAACACTCCGCCCCAAGGTTGCCCCGAAAAGCCCCGCTGAGGCCCCTGGAGGTGCTCACAAGAGGCCTTCAAGAGGCTTTTCCAGGAGACCCCCGAGAACCCTCCAAGAGCATCCCTAACATGCATCCAACGTGTCTCTGACGTCTGACCCACAGCTCAGGGCCGAAAACCACTATACCAGAACAAGAAAGGCCCCATTTCCAAACTGTCGGAGGCCCACTCTTGTCCCGTCCAATGTAGTCTCCAGTCTGCCGTCCCAAGCGACTGCCCTCACACCCACTACCAGATCGCATGCACATCGCCCTGCAACCTCTCTGGCTCTCGCTCTCTCTCCTTCTCTCTCTGTCTCTCTGCCGGGCCTCGCTCGTCGGTGCGCGCAACCTCCGAGTCTGAGCCAGCCAAAACCCGTGAGCGCCACAAACGGCCGTGCAGACCTTCGTCCACATGCCTGCCAGGGCCTCCCCCCTTGGGCAGACAGGCAGACACGCGCGAGGCGTCCAGAGACGGCCCGCTGCTGGGCGGCGCGGCGAGCCCTCGGGCCCGCGCCATCCAGCACCAGCGCCTTCATGACGCCCCCCCGGGCCTCACACGAGCTGTGCTGTGCTGATGGCTGTGGTTCGTGTGCACGCGCAGCCACCTGTCCTGCCCCTCCACCTCACACGTGCGCCCTCCTTCCCGGCGCCTTACCGCCGCCCTCCGGCGCCTTTGCACGCGTGCGGGCGCCTTCCTGGCGCCCTCCGGGCCTCTCGCGCCTCTCTGCCGACGCAGCCTCGGCGCATCAGGCTGGGCGGTTCCACCCTGCAGGCCGGGAGCGGCCCTCTCTCGGCGTGACTGCACGGGGCGGTGGCGAAGAGACGCGGGAGCGCGCCGGCGAGTGTGCAATGAAACATGTGCCCCTCAGAGGTCCAGGCAGCCAAGTCGAACGAATCAGCGAGCTGGGCCCCGCCCATCCCCACCCTCCCTCCTGTCACAAGATAAGACGCAGCGGCGCAGCTTGACATTGTGACTGGATCGTGTTCCCACGCAGCGAGCAGAAGGCACTCGCGGGCGGCCCCGCGCTCCGCTTCCGATGGCCCGGCGAGGGGCAAGGGGCGCGGGCGGGAGCGGAGCTTCGGAGCATCCCTGGCGGCACGGCGGCAAGCGCACACAATGGCCTCCTCCTGGGCGGCCAGGGCGTCGACGAGCGCGGCGAAGGCGAAGCGCGCGCCGCGCCTACAAAGAGCACTGCGACTTGCACGCGCAAGCTGCGCGGCGCGTGGGCGAGGAGAGCACCTCGCCCGCTCGCTCGCGGCCCCACCACGGCTGCCGCTGTCGTGCGGCCTGGCGGGCGCAACGTGCGCCGCGCCCGCGCGGGAACGCCCAGCGCCACGCGAAAGTCTGCACGAAGTTCCCCCTCCTCTAACCTCCTCCTCCTCCTCCTCCTCCTCCTCCTCCTCCTCCTCCTCCTCCTCCTCCTCCTCCTCCTCCTCCTCCTCCTCCTCCTCCTCCTCCTCCTCCTCCTCCCCCTCCTCCCCCTCCTCCTCCTCCTCCTCCTCCTCCTCCTCCTCCAGCTCCTCCTCCAGCTCCTCCTCCTCCTCCTCCTCCTCCTCCTCCTCCCTCCTCCTCCTCCAACCTCCTCCTCCTCCTCCTCCTCCTCCTCCTGCTCCTCCTCCTCCTCCAACCTCCTCCTCCTCCTCCTCCCCCTCCCTCATTCCTCCTCCTCCTCCTCCTCCTCCCTCTTTCTCCTCCCTCCTCCTCCTCCTCCTCCTCCTCCTCCTCCTCCTCCTCCTCTTCCTCCTCCTCCTCCTCCTCCCTTTCTTGTTGCTCCTCCTCCCTCCCCCTGTTTGCGCGCGGCCCGGCCCCGACGACTGCTAGCGAGTGGCATGTCTTCGCCGCGCCCAAGCGGGAGCTCCATTCCCGGGAAACGTGGAACGCGGCGCGGAGGCGTTGACTCCGCCCTTCGCCCCGTCGAGCGCGATGTGTGCGGCCCCCTCTCGAGCGCGAGGCGAAGCCCGGCCCACTGCCGCCGCCCCTTCTGCAGTGTCGTCGATAAGATGCACATTCTATTCTGAAAGGACGCACGCAACATTCGTATCGTTTGATTGGTAGGTTGGAACAGGCCCGTTGGGGCTGCTAGCTGCTGGCTGTAGCAGATGCAATACGCTGAGATCTGACGTAGCAACAAACATAGCATCATCGTGAAAAATCACGCCGGGAGCCCTGGACCCCATCTTTCCGCACTATTTTTCCAGCCGCATCGATCTGTGAGGGCTCCGAGGCCCGAAAAGATGGGAGAACGCCCGGCTCGAAAAAAATGAGTTGCCAAGATCTCAGGGTATATGCAAACAAAGGATTAGGACGGAGGGAGGTTAAGGGAGGCTTCACACTGCGAGACAAGGAAGGCCCACACTTCCGACAACGTGACTTCTCCGGAGTGTAGACCCCCGCAGGTCTCCACCCTGGGGGCTGCTCTCACCCCTGCGCAGAGTTTTCTGACGATCCTGGGGCCAGACAGGAGCCCGTGGAGGTCGAGAATGCTCAAAGACCTTCGGCCGTGGTTTTCTCGCGACACGAATGCTGGCAGCGAGCCCCAGGGGGAAATGAGACGGGGCGGGCCTTCTCAAAGGCTCGGATTACCTCCCGCCTGCCGAGAAGTTCTCTGAGCCTCCCTGGAAGACGCAAAAAAAGACTGCTCGGAAGGGCTTCTCGGAAGTCCCGCCGCATTCTGAGAGGGCCTTTTCCCTCTGGCTTCTTCCCCCAAGGCCTCGCCGCCACGAGTGAACGTGCAGGGGCTGGATCACTGGATTCTCCGCAGCCCAGGAGGCTTGACGGAGCCCCGCTCTTCAGCGAGCTGGGGCTCGGCTCTGTAAGATACACGCCGGCGCGCCCGGACCACCCAACACTGAGGTCCGATACCTAAATCACGAGCTCGAGAGCCAACGCTGGACGCCCTGTGCTCTAAACACAGAAGAGGGAGAGGAGGAGGAGAAGAGGAGCGAGCGACAGGAGAAGGCCGAAGAAGACGAGATTCTAGGACGTCTTCAGCTAGCCAAGAACATAACCCAGGGCCCCCGATTGCGCGCGCACCTTCTGCACACGCAGGGTCAGGGCACATCGTTGCGATCTAGTCCATGAGTTTTCGCACTCTGGCGGTAACCATCATGAGCTTTCGCACTCAATACACCTGCACCAACATAACTTATCATGTGCTATTGCAACTTTATTTCTGATGCTTCTCCTGCCCATGTCGCAGGGTGGATGTCGATCGGCAAGGAGTGATGTAGAGAGGAATGGGGGAGGGAACCGATGGCTGGTATCGAGAGACGTTTTTTTGTTGGAAGACCCCGCACATCCGTAACCGTTGGGCTCCTCACCCGTCACATTGACGCCATCGTCGCACATTGCCTGCTCGGCGTTGCTCTTGGAACCTCCCATGAAATGCATGATCTGGAGATCTGGATCGCGCATGCGCAGGCGCCCCATTTCTGGATCTGCAGCGCCACCTCCACGGAAACAATTGCTCAGAACACAACCAGCTCGGTTCCATGTTCTTCCGCTGAGGATCAACACCTTCTGCCTGAACTCTTTGTGGCTCTGGAGGCCATTCAAACAAATCTGCTCGTTTGAACCGCAACTCATCTTCTTTCCACCTACGCTGCGCGCATTCTCGATGGTCACGTCCCAATGCGCGGCCAACATGTCCCTGAACAACATCTGCGTCCAAGCAGTATTCGCGGCGAACATTAAACCCCCATTGATCCGCGATGGCCCCCGCCGCCGCATGCAAGGGTCAACACATGCTACAAGGGCGGGAAAGCAGTGAGACAACTGATTACCTTGGAATTGCAATCTCGCCTTAACATACCGCACATGCTTCCTGCGCGACCGCTTCCGGAAACTCTGGATACAGTCGGGGGCCTGACCTAGGGAGCCCAAAATAAGGAACGAGCCCCCCTTTCTCCCATGAGTTAAATTTCGACGTACGATCGAAAACACAAGGAAAACCCGAGGCAAGCTGCGACACACTTCAGGAACGCGGAGCCCCTCCCCAACGAAAAGGGTTCCTTCTTCAGTCAGGGCCCCGACTGTATCGGGGATGGACAGAACCCCCTTTAGCAAAACGTGGTTTAGTGAAAACGACCTCGGGCCCAAACCCGGCGGGCGCAAGCCTGGAAAATAACGGCCACGGCGCCCTCTCGAGAGCCGAAAACGGACAATTCACTAATCGACGTGTCACTGTTGGGGGTTCTGTCCACCCCCGAGAAAAGGGTTCCTTCTTCAGTCAGGGCCCCGACTGTAGAAGGGGCCGTCGCTGCCCCACTCTGAGGGGGAAGGCTTCGGGCAGCTCCGGGGGAGGAGGAGGAGGAGGAGGAGGAGGAGGAGGAGGAGGAGGAGGCTCTGGGGGGCAGGGGCCGACGCTGTCTCACTCTGCTTCTAACGCAGACGCCACATCATAACCTGTGAGGTACAATACACCCTGCGAAATGCCCAAAGGAATCATGGGTTGAGAAATTCATAGTCTCAGAACATGAATAAAAGCCGAACGTTTCCATTAACATCTTAAGCTGTACACTGAAACGTTAAGACTAATCGAGACTCTGGCCGAGAACTTAAGTTTTCTTAAGCATCGCCCAAGGTGTATACGTGTTGAATACGTCGGTGGTGCAGTGTGGGGTGTGGCATACGGGGGCAACTTCTGGGGCGAGGCATGTGTTGGGAGCGCAACCCACTGAAAACACATGACATGCAACTCATGAAATGGAACCCACGGGGTGCAATCGACAAACGACACTGACACGCATGCGCTGCATCCGTAATGGGGTGCACCGTGTGGGGCGCAGCCTCCAGGGCTGCAGCAGATGGGGTGCAACCTCTGGGCCGACTGCTATGGGGCGCATGCCTACAATGTGCATGCACGTGCATCCCGTAGAGGCATGAACACCTTTCGTAACCTCCGGCTCGGGGGAAGGAACGGTCGAACAAAATCACTACTCTTAAGTCGGGCATGTCCCCCTACAGGCGGATTCTGGACGAAACATAAAAACTAGTCACCCGAATGGTCAACATTTGTCCCCAAAATATGTTTTGACTATGTTTGAATATTCCTCATGTAGAGGGACACGCCCGATTTAACACTACTCCGCGTTTCGTTACAGAAACGGCAGCAGAAACGCCCTCACAATAATAGCACTCCGACAGGCGAAGCCCAGTCGTGACCGCACCCGAGGGAGGCATCGAACAGGGCAGGGCTGCTTGACAGGCGCCCAGGGCTGTTTTTAGTTGCAAACGCCACACCATGGGGATCGGGGGTGGTTTCCCTTGGGCGTTGCTCCAAGGGGGGGGGCGATGAGAATGAGGAGAATGATGATGATGATGATGATGATGATGATGATGATGATGATGATGAGGAGGAGGAGGAGGAGGAGGAGGAGGAGGAGGAGGAGGAGAAGGAGGAGGAGGAGGAGGAGAATGAGGAGGAGGAGGAGGAGGAGGAGGAGGAGGAGGAGGAGGAGGAGGAGGGAGGAGGGAGGAGGGGGAGGAGGAGCGATGAGTGGGGCGCGAAGAGGCGCCCACCCTTCGTGCCCCTCTCGGGCCCGAGAGGGCCGCTGAAGTGCACGAAGTGTGCACCTTTCCCCAAGATTCCCCATATTTTCATATATTTTCTGGGTTTTCGTCATCCCCCTCCACTTCCCATATTCTTATATGTTTTCCGGGGAATCGACGATTCATTGTGTCTGTGTGTTTTTCCCCTCCCGTCTCATGGGAGCCTCCCGTACCATCTTGTCGGCTCTTGCGAATCGACGCTTGTCGACGCTAAATCGTCGCTAACCGACGCTCAATCGACGCTACGCTAATCGACGCTGACCGACGCTAGATCGGCGCTATCTCATCGACTCTAGACGCTAATCTACGCTAACATCGGAATTAAGAGGGTGTGCCAGGCTCCCATGATGTGTTACCGACCCCCCCCCTCCTGTACGGTTGGCATCGCAAAGATGGCGTGCAGCACCGATTTCCGAGAAGCACGCTATCCCCCCAAAGTAGGGCTTCCTCGGTGCACGCTCTCCCTGTGAGGCGATCCCCCTGCGAGGGATCCTCCCGTGCACGAGATCCCCCCTGTCAGGGCTTCCTCGATGCAGGCTGTCCCCAGGGCTGGGGGTAGCGCATAACGAACGGGCCCGCGGCGCCACATCGCACGCTCTCTTTGCAACGCCAGCCGCATGTCGCTCCCCCCCCCCTTCGCAACGCCCGACTTTTCCTCCCTCGGCAAGCGCCCGAGGGGGTGTTGAGCATCGTTTGACCGACCCCTATCCCAAGGCCGGGCATGTCCTCCTGCAGGCGGATTTTAGAACGAAAAATGAGAAATAGTGAAAACATGGTCGAAACATGATCAAGAATAGTCGAAACGTCGTCCCCGGGCAGATTGTGACTATTCTTGAATATTCCCCCTGTAGAGGGGCATGCCCGACTTGACCCTATCCCCATGGGCGTGGCCTTGGCCAAACTGGCCGATTGCGCCCCCCCCCCCTTGGATGTGAATGTAGACCGTTCCCCTCGCGCTCTTCCGCGGGGTATATCCACGGCTGGGGTGCTGAGATGGTGGGGTCGGGATGGGGAAGGGGATGGGGATGGGGGGGTCGAGATGGGCAAGGGGATGGGGATTGGGTATGCAGTGCGGGCGCGGTCGACAGAAACCCTCGCGAGAAACCCAACCCTGAAAACCCGCGCGCGAGGTGCAACTGAGGGGAAACCCGGAGCACCCCAACGCAGCAGTTCCGTGAACGGCCGCGGCAAGTCACCGCGCAGCGCGGAGCGAAGAAACCCAGGGTACCCCGACGAAAAATGGGTGGTTTCTTGATGAGCGCCCCCACTGTATCCCCAACTGGATGGGGATGGGGATCGGATGCTGACGCGGGTGCTCTCCCCCAGGACAGAGCTTCCAGCCGGAGCCGCTTTCTGACAGCCCCGGGGCCCGTGTAGGGCCCCGAAAGCCCGAGAGCGGCGAACAATAAAGGGGCCCCAGGACACACAAATAAATACACACAAATAAACAGATTCCCCATATTTTCATATATTTTCTGGGTTTGTGTCTTCCCCCCCACTTCCCATATTTTCCAATATTTTCCTGGGGATCGTCGATTCATTGTGTCTGTGTGTTTTTTCCCTCCTGGAAAAACCTCAGGACCTGTTTTTTTCTCAGTCCGCTTCTCCCCCATGGCGAATTGTTCCTCCCTCGGCCAGCGCTGGGGGCGTGTGATGGGCAACGATAGGGGGGACTGGCACAGGGGGGGGAAACGTCGACCTGAGATCGGCAAGACGTGGCCGATAGATCGGCGATAGGCCCCCGATAGCGAATCCGCACCTTCCTGGGCGGGTTTGTCCTATCAGACCCCTATCAGCGATCCATGGATGATTGGAGATCGATGCCCCCCTATGCCTATCCCCCCCGATCGGTAGGGAACCCACAAAGGATGTACTCGCCCAACCACGTACATGAATGCGGCCCCCCAGTCCGCGAAACCAGCCGCACGATGCGGTAGAGGGAAAAACATAGTGGACACTCTCCCGCCCCCCAAACTCAAAGTTGGCACTCGCGGGGAAGTCCGCGGTCGAAGTGCAGCTCATTCAACTCACCGCCAACATGGACCATTGGGGGAGTGCATTGACAGGTGAGTGCGGCATGAGTTTTCGCGAATTTCTTCCGAAGCCTCCATGAACCTTCGCGCAGTGCGTACTCTCAAAACCAACGTGGGTTCTTGCATGTGTAGATCCTTCTTTCGCTCGCGAATCGTTGCCCCCGAGGGTGTAGCCTCTTGGGTTTCGGGCCTCGTGCTACTCGGGCCTGCACTCGGCTCTCCGGTTGCCGCCGTTCGGGATGATTCCGGCACCCCTGGAGCGCCCTCGACGAGGCGCAGCTGCCTGAGAGCATCCCGCGGCTGGGAAACCGCCAAGAACAAATCCAAAGCCCAGAGCACTTTTGCAGACCCCACCCCCTCTTTGAGGCCTGGAGATGGGCACCAACACCAACACAGGGGGGCTGCCTCCACAAGGGGGAAGACGATCCCAGATTTCGGTGCTGGTGGTCATGTTTCGGCCACCTCGGAAGCCAGAATATCACCACCATCGCCGAGATCGGGATCTTCTTCTCTCGGTGGAGGCAGAACTGAAGGGGCCCCAGGACACACAAATAAATACACACAAATAAAAGAATTCCCCATATTGTCCTATAGTTTCTTGGGTATTGTCTTCCCCCCCACTTCCCATATTTTCCCATATTTTCTGGGGAATCGACGATTAATTGTGTTTGTGTGTTTCTTTCCCTCCTGAAGAGCGCCGATATTGGTGTTGGTGTCAACCTCTAAGCCTGCGACCCCCCCCTGTGCCGCTCCCCCCCACCGCTGCCCCCGAGGGCGTGGCGCCCCCGCCGCCAGCCGTCCAAACCGCCCCCCGCCGCGGATGGCCGCGCCGCGCGCCGCACAAGCGCCCCCCCCCCCCCCGCCAAGCAGAAACGGCGCTGGTCGCGCCGGCAAGGTGGGCGTTTTTTACTCGGCGCCCCGACATTGGGCGGGAGGGGGGGGAGGGGGGGGGTGTCTGGCTCTGGCCCTCGGCTGAGTGCGACTGTTTGGGATCGTGCGTCCCAGGGGGGAGACCCCACCTGCTCGAAACAGGCGCCAAAAACAGCCAAGATCTACTTCACGGGGGGGGGGGGGGGGGAGGGGGGGGGTGCGATGGCCCGCGCTGAT